CTGGTACCTGAGCTGGTCAGGAAGGTACACTCTCCCTCTCGGTAATTCCCGCCACTCCTCTGTCCTCTGGGCCCCTCCCCCCTCCCCTCCCTCCCACCTGATGAGGAGGCTCTGCAGGTGCCCAGCCCTGACCCCCCTGTACACCTGTCTGCCCCACGCGGCTGATTGAACCAAGGGCAGCCAATCGCGTCTGGGCTACTGGCCTGGCACAGGCACGGGAGTGAGCCAATCAAGCCCACTCACTCATTCATTCACCCGCACACCTGAGGTGGAGAGCAGGCCAAGCCAGAGAGACGACAGGGACAAAGAAGGGAGAGAGAAGGAGCAAGATGCCACCTCCACCCCCACAATCTCTGCTCCCGGGGGCCCCTGGCGGGGCATCAGCCAGCCCCGATCAGCGCGAGGGCCTCCGGTGAGCTCCCCCTGATCCTTGCCGCGGTTCTCAGCTGTGGGGGCCGGTCACGCTGACATTTTGAAGCTGGTTTTTGGTTCCCAAACTCACAGGCTCTTTAATTAACTCCATTCTCATTTCTCTCCACCCCGAGGCTTCTGAGCTCAGTGAGGATGCAAGCCTACTCATCCCCAGATTAAACATAAAGACTGCCACTTCCCGCACTGTCCTCCGGCTATTTGGATGGTAACAAACGCTCAACCTCCTAACGAGGGGATGGTCCGGAGGGTTCCCAGGAACTGAGCGCTCGTTCCCGCGGGCGGGCCCTCTCCCGCCTTCACCGGGCACCTGCACGGGCCGGCAGGGCAGGTGCTGCAGGTGCGCTCGTTGTACCGATGCGGAAACTGAGGCCTGGGAAAGGCTGCCTAGACCCCGGCTATGGGAGCCGGCCACGCTGAAACTCTGAAGCTGGTCTTTGGTTCCCAAACTCACACAGGGCCAGCCTAGTCCTATTGCAAGGTCCTCATTCACTTCATTCAGCCAATCTATGGGAAATGCTTTCTTTTTTTAAATCCTCAACGGAGGAGTGGAGATATTTTTTCCATTGATTTTTTTTTTTTTAGAGAGAGAGTGTAAGTGAGGGGGCAAGGGGAGAGAGAGGAGAGAGAGAGAGAAACATTGATGTGAGAGAGACACATGATTGGTTGCCTCCCACAGGTGCCCTGACTGGGGACGGGGATTGAACCTGCAACCCAGGTACGTGCCCTTGACCAGAAAGCGAACCCAAGACCCTCAGGTGTGCAGGCCCACGCTCTAACCCAGTGGCTCTCAACCTTGGCTGCACATACAGTTGTTCTCATCCTTGGCTGCACATTAGAATCACCTGGGAATCTTTTTAAAATCCTGATTTCTGGGCCTCATCCTCCCGAAATTCTGTTTCTTTGTTACTAATGTTGTGGCCCCACCCCATAACAAAGAAACAGAATTTCCCGGAGGATGGGCCCAGAAATCAGGATTTTAAAAAGATTCCCAGGCGATTCTAATGTGCAGCCAAGGTTGCAAACCACTGCTCTAACCCCTGAGCCAACCAGCCAGGCCTGGACAAATGCTTATTTGAGTCTTTTAAAGGACAGGCGCCTGCTAGGCTCGGGGGATACACCTGTGGCGGGGACGCCCATGGAGACCCCCGCACGGAGCCCCCAGAAGCCTGGCTTGTGTTTGGAAGCGAGGACAAGAACAAGAACAGTCCCGATGTGAAGAACGGGAGAGAGAGAGAGAGAGAGAGAGAGAGAGCAGAGGAGAGGGCTGGGAGGGCCTGAGGGCATCATCTGCTGCCTGGACCCAGCTGTGCCTGAAGCGGGTCCTAGCTATGAGCCGGCAGCTCCCTTTGGTCCTTAGGACCGTTTGAGTTGGGCTTCCGACACTTGTAACGGCAAAACCCCCGTGAACACCTGAGTCACGGCGGCCCTAAGTGGCCGAGGCCGGGGAGTGAGTCCCACGTCCCAGGCCACAGCGAGTAAGTGAAAGGGTAGGTCTGAGCCTGCGTCTTCACCACAGGAAGCTGGATCTAACCTCAACACCTTCCTGTGACAACGGAAACAAAAATGGTTTTGTTCTGGCTCCGCTGGGAGGGTCGGGACGCTAGCGGCTCCCCGGCCCGCGACACTCTTCAAGGACCCTGCACAGCCCCACGTGCGTGCTCGGAGGGGCTCCACCAACAGGGGGTGCTGTGCCTGGCGCCAGCCCCAGGGCACCTGTAAGGCGGCCCCCAGGATAACCCTGTCCCTCCAGCACCACCCCTGCCCTCTCCCCGACCACCAGGCCCACGCCCGCCTGCCCGCCCAGCACGGAAGGGCTGGGGGCTGCGGGGGCTCTCCCAGGCCACCGCGGGGTTTCTCGGAGGCCCGGATCCAGAGATTCATGACTCAGGCTAAGGCAGCCTCGTTACGGCCAGGGCCTCTGGGGGCAACGGCATAAATCACACGGCTCAATCGGAGGCCGCGTTTGGCTGTCACTGTTGTTATTAAATATAAATTGTGGATTTATTAAATAAGGCCCCTCACTCCCTGGGCCCGCAGACAAAGCCCAGGGCGGTGATATATCACATGTGGGGGCGTGGCATCCATCTCCCGCGTCTCCCTCTGTGGAGACTCACCATGGAAACCCGCACAGCCCTCGGGCAGCCCGCACACTCCCCTGGCGCTCGGGGCTGAGATCTGAGGGGGAGACGGGGTAGGAGGGAGGAACCCTCACGTCCTTGCATGGCCCCGGCCTCATCTAGCTTTGTGCAAAGTTGTGTTTCAGAGCCTGGCTGGCCGGAGCGGGCAGCGAGGGAGCACTGGACGAGGAGTCCAGAACCAAGCTCAGTGCCCAAACCCCAGCCACCTCTGAACCCACTGCCCATGGAAGCCCGGAGCCTGGCCACGGAGGTGGCAGCACAGAGCGGCCGGGGGGATGGGGTGGGATAGGCCCCAGTGAATTTAGCGGTCACTCGCCTAGGAGGCCATAAGCATCTCTCCGCAGCACTTCCCGCTGCCAGTCCCTTATGCCCTTACACCCCTTAGGGCGTGCGTGCCGTCTGCCACCTGTTCAGGGGTCAGCCCCGGGCAGGGGCTTGGAAGTAAGTGGCAGAGCCAGGACTCCACCCCGGCGGGCCAGCTCAGAGCGCGTCTCTAGCCAGCGTGCTGAGCAGCTGCTCCCGCACATCCCGAATGAATGAATGAATGAATGGGCGAACGAACGAACAACTGCAGCTGCTCACGGGTTAAATGGGAGAAATCACTCGTGTCCTTGCTCCGGACACAGCCGGGCCTGCGGGCACCCTCCACCCAGCGGGGCATTTCCGCACTTCCCAGGTGCCCCTCGCTCCAGCCTCGCCAGCTTGCTGCCCCCACGCATCCTCCTCTGCGTCTCAACCTAGAAGCCACTCTCCCTCCCGACAGGGTCCTGCCCCAGTCCCTGGGCCTCCCCTCCTAGGACTTCCTATTTCCCTCGCTCTGAGCTGGCACCGGAGGCTGCCTGGTGCCCGCGGGCCCAGGAAAGGTGCTATAAATGACAGCTCTGCCTGGTACTGCATGGCATCGGGCAGCATGTGCGGTGCCAGGGGACCCCCTATGGGCATGCACACGGCCACAAGCACACACATACCCCA